AGGTTCTTGATTATATAATTGTTGACTTGATGTGAGCTCAGTATCCATGTTTATAGTCCAGAGTGAGTGAGTGAATTTAGTTTTATGCTGCACTCAGCAATATTCCAGCTATATTATGACGGTCTGTTAATAATAGTAAATAATCAGTTAATTTTTTGTAAGTATTACCACTTTAAATTTATTTTTTCGAAAAACCCTAACATCCAATATGTTCATAATGACACTTGTCCCATATTGCTCTGTGAGGAGTCCAGAGCAGCCTAGGTCTACAGTGTACTTGTCATAGAGTTGGGCGATGGGGTAGCCTAGTAGTTATAGTGTTCGCTCGTCACGCCGAAGACCCAGGTTCGATTCCCCACATGGGTACAATGTGTGAAGCCCATTTCTGGTGTCACCCGCTGTGATATTGCTGGAATATTGCTAAAAGTCCCTCACTTACTCACTTACTCACTCATTCATCAAGGGAAATTGTTATTATCATCATCATTATAATGATCACTGTTATTATCAATATCCTTGTGCATCATTTTAATTTTCAGTATTACCTCATTGTAATCATCCTCTCTTAGCGATTTTTCTATATTATCATAACTAACATCATCATAATCAGCTCGACGATCATAACGACCAGTACCTTTATCAGAACCAGTATAATAACCATCATAATCAGCCTTCTCCTTCAACAACTGACACCTTACAGCCAATACCTTTCTCCAACATGATCCTGTCATTAACTATACATAAGTAGCTTGGAATAGAAACGGCATCTGCTCCGCAATATAGAGAGAGGTTAGTTTAATGGCTGCCACGCATGCACTGGCAAGGCGTTACCAGTACCATATTAAGAAAGACAGCATGGTTTTATTGGGCTTGCAGGCTCGTAAATGTTCAAGTTGTACCACATCATGGTGCCACGGTTGCATCGCCTGCATGTCATGTGACACACTGCGATTAACGAGGAATTTGGGAATATGTTGTCTGTCTTGCAAGTGTGTCATATAGTCTTCCAGGTCGTTGACCTTTTAGACGGAATGGCAAGATGGTACCATGGTCTTGATGAGCCATTGTTTAGATTGGAAGCTCTTAGATGTTGGTTGGGATATGCTTCAGATGCTCGATAGGTTACGCTATTTAATAATTCAGCAGGGTACAGGAGAGTGATATTATTCTCAAACAGCGATTGTTGAAGGGAGAATGTTATGGGCTTGTGGAATAATACTGATTTCATTATTGAATTTATACTTGTAATTTTGCAAAGGGAGACATTACTGGGTAGTGTGAAAACTTGGAATGAGATTTGGGATGAAAATGGAGTTTATGCAGATTAAATTCTGTTTATTACCCTAACTTGGTAGGAATTATGAATATTGTGCTCCATTTTACTGCTATTACACTTCATAACGGTAATTTTTTAAACCATTATTCTCAAAATCAATTCATGTTTTGTCTCGATACATTTTTTTAATAGTATCATTGCACTAAAAATCTGGGTTTGATTCCCATGTGAGGACAATGTGTGAAACCCATTTTCAGTGCCCTTCTCTCGTGTGATATGGCTGGATTATTGCTTAAAGTGCAGTGAACACCACTGATATATTATACCTTAAACACCACATTATATGTAGTAAACATGAATGTGTCATTATATATATATATGTATATATGTACATACCACTCTCAAGAAGATAGAGAATACAAGAAACTTCAGTTATATGAACTCAAGAGGAGCTCAGATTTCACTTTGTTGTTAGGCCCCCCGAAAACATATTTCCGTACATGCATTTTAAAAATAGGGTAGGTGGGTCGATTTTATCTTCATTTTTTTACTTTTTTAGGGCACCTGAGAATGTCTTCAAGGATACCTTGTGATGAAACATTGAAAGATTCCTATGTCAAATCATTATTCATGTTATTTATTTGTAGGGTAGTAACAGTCGGGTAACTGGAAATTGACATGGGGGAGGGGGCAACCATAGTTTGTGGCAATCTGAAGCAAGGGGCAGGACCAAAAGATGGATGGGTGGGTGGGTTGGTGGATGGATGGATGGATGGGTTGGTGGGTGGGTGGATGGATGGGTGGGTGGATGGTTGGATGGATGGGTGATTGGGTGGATGGATGGATGGTTGGATGGATGGTGGATGGATGGATGGATGGATGACACTGCACTCAGCAATATTCAAGCTATATGGCGACTGTAAATAATCGAATCTGGACCAGACAATCCGGTGATCAACATCATGGACATCGATCTACGCAATTGGGATAAGATGACATGTGTCAACCAAGTCAGCGAGCCTGACCACCCAATCCTGTTAGTCACCTCTTATGACAAGCATGGGTTAATGAAGACCAATTTTAACCCAGAACTTCATGGGTGCAGAGCCAAAAGAAGTAGTTCATTATATCTATCAGTTCATTACAAGCATGTTCATTACAAAATGGCACATGCTATTTATAATATCATGGTAACATTATAATCCGTTCCCTGTGGCTAAAGGACACACTTATGAATTGACGTATTTTACAAAACATTTATATGATGCTGTGTATGACGCCATTCAGAGATCCAGCGTAAACCTGACAACCACATGAGGAAAGAGTATGGATGATAAGCATGATTACGTGAATTAACCGTGATGTCATGAATTGTAAATGTCATTGATAAGGAAAGGTCAGGCAAAGTGGCCATGATTGATTAAACATATTTCCTTCTAAAATTCTAATGGGCACATGCAGCATCTTTGGGGCTGCCCCCTGTGATCTTGAGAAAAAGGCTATTTCCATTTCTGTCTTTTCTGAAACTTGAGGATTTTAAATCTCTATTGGTAAAACAGCTTGAAGAGACCCCAATTTCACTTGTGAAAAACGCCATTTCAGTTGACCATTGATATGTAACATAATGGGAGTTTTTGGATTCAGTACCCATGGTTGTGGTAGAAAACATATGTAGCATGTAGAGTACATTCTTTTATAACACCTTATAGTTGGACTGTATTCCTTGAATGACAGCTTTATAAATGCTTTTATGAATGACAGCTTAACTATTCATGATCAGCCAAGAATTGTTTAGAACTTAGCCTAAGTAACATGCTACAGTTAGCATTCCCTGTAAATACAATATATTGTCAAAATGAACTACAAATGTCTCCACTGATGGTTGCAGTGTAAAAGGATTAATTACTAGTATATAACAAACAAGAATATACAAACATGAACTACACACCAGACTAAACCTTTATCTCATGGTGGCAGTACATAAATCAAGTACACACCAGACTAAACCTTTATCTCATGGCGGCAGTACATAAATCAAGTACACACCAGACTAAACCTTTATCTCATGGCAGTACATAAATCAAGTACACACCAGACTAAACCTTTATCTTAGGGTATAAAAAACTCAAGTACACACAGTACTAAAAACTTTATCTCATGGCGGCAGTACATAAATCAAGTACACACCAGACTAAACCTTTATCTCATGGCGGCAGTAGATAAATCAAGTACACACCAGACTAAACCTTTATCTCATGGCGGCAGTACATAAATCAAGTACACACCAGACTAAACCTTTATCTCATGGCGGCAGTAAATAAATCAAGTACACACCAGACTAAACCTTTATCTCATGGCGGCAGTACATAAATCAAGTACACACCAGACTAAACCTTTATCTCATGGCGGCAGTACATAAATCAAGTACACACCAGACTAAACCTTTATCTCATGGTGGCAGTACATAAATCAAGTACACACCAGACTACACATAAATCAAGTACACACCAGACTAAACCTTTATCTCATGGCGGCAATACATAAATCCAGACAAGTACACACCAGACTAAACCTTTATCTCATGGCGGCAGTGCATAAATCAAGAGTACACACCAGACTAAACCTTTATCTCATGGCGGCAGTACATAAATCAAGTACACACCAGACTAAACCTTTATCTCATGGCGGCAGTACATAAATCAAGTACACACCAGACTAAACCTTTATCTCATGGTGGCAGTACATAAATCAAGTACACACCAGACTAAACCTTTATCTCATGGTGGCAATACATAAATCAAGTACACACCAGACTAAACCTTTATCTCATGGCAGCAGTACAAAACTGAACTACATGCCAGACTAAACCATCATGACATGGCACAATGCGAAAACCATGAACTGCATGCCAGACTATTATTTCATGACTGCGATACAAAGGGAATTGTATTCCGGCTAAACTTTTATCACAAATATGTATATAACGGGCTCAAGCTCAATACAAAATACACTGCATACCAGACTAAATCGTTATCTCAAGCAACAGTAGAAAATACACTGCATACCAGACTAAATCGTTATCTCAAGCAACAGTAGAAAATACACTGCATACCAGACTAAATCGTTATCTCAAGCAACAGTAGAAAATACACTGCATACCAGACTAAATCGTTATCTCAAGCAACAGTAGAAAATACACTGCATACCAGACTAAATTGTTATCTCAAGCAACAGTAGAAAATACACTGCATAGCAGACTAAATTGTTATCTCAAGCAACAGTAGAAAATACACTGCATACCAGACTAAATTGTTATCTCAAGCAACAGTAGAAAATACACTGCATACCAGACTAAATTGTTATCTCAAGCAACAGTAGAAAATACACTGCATAGCAGACTAAATTGTTATCTCAAGCAACAGTAGAAAAATATACTGCATACCAGACTAAATCATTATCTCAAGCTGCAGTACAAAATACACTGGATACCAGACTAAATCATTATATCAAGCTGCAGTACAAAATATGCTGCATACCAGGCTAAATCATTATCTCAAGCTGCAGTACAAAATATACTGCATACCAGACTAAATCATTATATCAAGCTACAACGCAAAAATAATCTGCAGATCACCTTTTCCTCATGACAGCAACACTAATATGAACTACCTACCAGACAGAAAGTTTTTCATGTCATGGCACAATACAAAAATGAACTACCTACCAGAATGGACTTTTTGGCTGCACTACTCATAGTTGCAGTATTAGCCGGTTGCCCCTCTCCTTGAAAAAGTTACTGTGATTTTGTGAGTTGGAAAGTGTCCAAAACGGATTGGTGTCTGTCTCCAGCAGTCTGTCTAATTGATCCTCTTCTTAGTTACTGGAACCTGCTACTTCAAACTGGCAGCCTCAACTCTAACGTCAAATAATGTTCGCCAACCGAACGACCGCATAAAATGGAGAGTCTTGTATCCCGGTCATCACATGACACTTAAATATGATGGCACAAAAAAAAAGGATATTATTTTGTCACCAGATTACAAGTCAGTCTGTTATCCCTTCAAATATCAGATATTGAAATAGATCAGCTGTGATGATACTGTCAATTAGGCAAGAATGCAATCCTGTTGTGGACGTGATGTAGCTTCTGTTGCTGCAAGTAACCAACATTAATCATTTGCAGTATTTTAGATGACAGCACCAGTGAGCGAGTCAGCAGTCATGTCATCATTGTCTACGTATGTCAAGCCCCAGAACTCGGAAGCAGACGTCTGTTTTCAGCAGGATTGCAGGTAGGTCAGACGGTTGGTGACCAGACGTTTTGTTGTGTGTCCCTGTGCTGTACGATTTCTTTACGATTTTTTGTAAAATTTCAGTACAGTTATTGTACAATTTCTGAACCAATGATCGTCACAGGTTTTAGAAGACTGTGATTGTCGAAGGAGGTGATTCCAGTTATATTTCCACAGGTTGAATGCTTGCTAGTCCCACACAAAGTCGTTATGAAATATCAGTCCACACCTACCCTTACTGAACTAGTCTATGTAACAGGAGTAGATTATGGCCAGCTAATACTGAGGACAGTGAAGAAATGTCAACTGCACACAGCCCGGCAAAAGACGATTGTCTTGTTCAATTGGCGGCAAATATCACATGTGCAAAAGACAGTCTTGATATGCCTGTAATGCTCAGTTTGGGAGCAAGAGCATTAAAAGTGATCCTAAATTTAACTTGAGGATGATCACTGGTCCTTTAGGAATGCCCCCAGACATGGATATTTCTCCAGTTCTTGAAGGCTAGAGTTCTAGGTATGCTTCCCATGCTAGGCTGACAGTTCACAGAAGAGAGCACACTGTGAAAATTGTATGTTTGGACGTTGAGTCAATCAATCGTAGCTTCCAGTTGCCTTCCCATCCTACCAGCGCCATCAATTGTAGCCTCAGTGTATTCTACAAACTTGAATGGTCATGGATTTTCCATAAATGGTAAGAGAGGGCTTTTATCGACATATCATTCATTCAGTTATTGGCAAAGTCAGACTTGATTTGCAAGCATGTGAGTTGAGTAGTCATCCAACCATTGATTGCAGGATTTCACTTTCCAATGTAAAGTTTCCAACAAGAAAAGCCGATAATTAAATGCACATTTTCCTGTTTCACTGTGCTCTGTCATGGAAAGGTAAGGCAACATGAAGATAGTAGAGTCTACGCTGAGGTTTCAGCGGTACCATAGCTTGGTCCAGACTCCACCATTCATAAGGGTCTGATGCTCACGAAACATCAATACTTGTTCTTCTCTTGCTTTGAAGTCACACACACACATATAATGCTGTTATAGCAACATGATATTTTCACTGGAGAAAATGACATTCGTTATCCACAAGCACAGCAAACGAAGACAAATGTTTCCTGACTGAAGTGCAGAAGATGTGTTTCGACGTTGTACACTAGCCGAGTTGACCTACTTTGTGATTGAACCGAGGGATCTTTATTCAGCAAATCAATGAGGGAATTTGCGTCACTGGTCGATTTTGCTCATTCATAAAGATTGGAACCCATGTATTTGCCAGAAGAATCACAAAATCAGCTGAGACCTGGGTGAGTCTGAGAGGGCTCAGCCAATCAGATTTCATCGAGTTCCCAGGCATTGGATGTATTGAGCATAACCATGGCTTAATTTGTTTATGCCTTAGACTTGGCCGTGTTTACTTCTTATTTGTCCAAATTCTCCCAAATATCAAGGCTACTGCTGGCCTTTGGGCTATTGAAAGGCTGTATGTTATTCCAAGTTGACACCAACTTTAGTAAGGGCAGTTGAGTCATGAATGAAATCATTGGAAGTGTCCCTCTGAGTTCATGGCTTAAATAGGATTACACCACACACCTAACTGATTAAGAACTATAAAACAAGATCAAAGATTTAATTACATTTACTTGGACCAACCCTCCCTGTGCAAGGAACAGTTTCAGTTCCTGGCCTGTGTTATAATAGCATTAATCATTGTGCGATACCAACAGCAGGGCTTTCAAAGGGTGGAAAAACAAGAGTGCTTAAGCCAATGAGTCAATATTGATTTTTGATTACGTGGATTCCTTATTGTATGAATCAGTGATTTTAGTGTAAGCAGGTGAGACAAAGTGGAATGCTGCATGTTTGCTCAGGGTTCCATTTGAGTCATTATGGTCCTATCTGTTGCAAGCACTTATTTTAATATGTTTTTCTCGTCATTTTAATCAGGGATGGGTTGTCTGTGTCAGGATTACATGCTGATGAATCAAGTTACAGTCATAGTGTTTATGTTACACTTCGACAGGAGCTCTGATAAGCATATTTCCCATCACTCAAATGTGTCAGATATTCTGTATGTCAACATAGCGATGAGGGAGGGAGTTTAGTTTTAAGCCGCTTTTAGCAATATTCCAGCAATATTATGGCAGGGAACACCAGAAGTGGGTTTCACACATTGTACCCATGTGGGGAACTGAACCCAGGTCTTCTGCATGGCGAGCAAATGCTTTAACCATTAGGCTACCCCACCACCCCCAACATAGCAATGAAGTCACCATCAATATCTCTCCTTTCTCCTTATATGCATTAGATATTCTCTGTGTCAACTTGAGACAAGGTAACCATATCTCACATCCAACCTGTTTCAAATCAAATACTTTTCTTTTCAATATGAGATAAAGTAATCATATCTCTGATTTAACCCTATGTGATGTGCATGAGATAGTCTCTGTATCTACTTGAGACATCCACAATGGTGGTGCCCATCACAAACACATGCAAAGGCAGGTCAACCCACATGCAAAGAAACTCTTATCATATGCTTCTACAAATATAAAGAGATGAAAGATGTCATGTTTTATAGATAATAACTTCTTTTTATTCTTTATACAAGGTTTCAGAGCTAATTCTTGCTCCTTCATCAGGTAAATGAGTATATAAAGAGAGAATGGCATGTGATATCATTTTTATAACTGATGCATCAAATATGGAAGTGTCTACTACATACATACCATAAACATTTTCAAGAGTTTTCCACACAAGGTTGTGAAATGTAGGCTTAAAAGGATGAAATTGCTGGAATATTGACAGCCTAAGGTCAGATGATGTTATATCTGTAATATTATAAACAATGGAAGACATCACATTGTTATCTTTCGTACCAGTGAAACGATGTGATCGCTGGAAATGATCTGAGTCAGCATTGATGTACAATGCATATGTACAAATTCAAGAAGTTACTGTACTCAGTCTTTCTCCCCTTGTGATTATCGCTAAGTACTTTTTAATTCACCATAATTGTCAGAATTGATTTTCAGTAACCCATGCTTATCGTAAGAGGCAACTAACGGGATCAGGTGGTCAGGCCCGCTGATTTGGTTGACATGTCATTGTATCCCAATTACATAGATTGATGCTCATGCTGTTGATCACTGGATTGTCTGGTATAGACTCGTTTATTTACAGACCGCCGTTGAAATCTAAATCTAAACTCACTCACATGTTCCTTTGCTTTTGCTGTTTTTCGCAAATTTACGAAACTGACATAATTTTGGGTGACCCTACCTTAATTTCCTCTGATTTCTTCTTAAAATATTTCTCTCCTGTATAAATAATGTTATAAAGCATGATTGTTATTTAGCAATATTATATCTTACAAAAGAACAGGGATACATCTAGGTATTCTCTGGGATCTAGCTGTAGTACTCAACATACCCCTGAATATAAGAACGTGACAACTTTCAAGAAAATCCAAATATTAAACAAAATTTCAAAACATGATTATGAAGTACCAGTTTTGGGACAAGCTTTAGGGGCTTGGGACACACTCTGGCTGTCACTGAAGGCGTGCATGATGACTTGCCTTACAGCCTTGAGTTTAGTTTTACGCCGCACTCAGCAATATTCCAGCTATATGGCGTGTCTGGACCAGACAATCCAGTGATCAACAGCATGAGCATCGATCTGCGCAATTGGGAACCGATGACATGTGTCAACCAAGTCAGCGAGCCTGACCACCCGATCCCGTTAGTCGCCTCTTACAACAAGCATGGGTTGCTGAAGACCAATTCTAACCCGGACCTTCACGGGTCTGACCCAGAAGTCCCATATGGAATCAATGGGCACTGGGCACTATGGGACATATATTAACATTATTAATTACAAATGAACAAAAAGGAATATCGGTAGCATGTAAGCACTTTTTTTTAGCAAGAGTGTTTCTCCATGTAGTTTCAACCCAAACAAGTCTTGTTTACAAAAGTCAATTTGTCCATTTTTATAAATGCCAGTTTATTTTTGTGGTAAAATCCCAAGCCCTTAAGATACATTAGTAACTCCCATAGGTCTGTAAATCATTGTGACACATACAGAATCTGATGGTTATGTAGAAGTGTGTGGGCCATAGGAGAATTACTGGCCAAATTGTCTTTTATGCTTTGTGTGTTTTTATAAACGACAGCACAATGCAGGCACACTTCAGTACAGATGCACCCAATCCAGCTGCAGATTTAGCTGTGAGAAGCAGCACTAATGGAAGTGAATCCTGCAAGGAGGAAATCTCATGCTGGCATCTGCAAATGATGCAGGGCATTTGCAATGTCCTCATCCACTGAGAACAGATATGATCTCTTGAGTCCATAGATGCTGCTTCAGTGCAGAATTAGTTCCAAACTGTACATATTTTTCAGTAAGCACAAAAAAGGAATGAGTGGGGAAAGGTGTCATTGGGAATTGTTAAATACCATATTTCCGTGTGTGTTTGAGAATGCGACATACACACCCCTCCCCACCTGTATAATTTTTGTTTAAAAGTTATTTTACGGCTTATCAAAAACATCTCGGTATACTCACATGAATACACAAGGTATGCACATTTTCTCCTGTTTAACTCAAAACATTTTAAGAAATTAAATCAGAAAATTTTATAACAAAATTAATATTAAATTTTTTTCACTGGTTAAGGACACACAAGTTTGTTCTCTCTGACAGGAGACCCAAATTTAATTTCTTTCACAAGACATATACAATTTCAGAGCGTCTGTAAAATCCTGAGAACACCCATTTTGTAAATTTGAGTCACCTCGAACTCAGAATAGAAAATGTTGAAAATGAAGTTGAGACGGTCTATGCATGTTGGAGGAACACACACGCACACACATGCACTTGCACATCGCTATACGCGTGCAGTCATCTTGAACCCCTTTAATACCACAAAAATAATCTGGCATTTAAAAAAATGGACAAATTGACTTTTGTAAACAAGACTTGTTTGGGTTGAAACTACATGGAGAGACACTCTTGCTAAAAAAAGTGTTTACATGCTACCGATATTCCTTTTTGTTCATTTGTAATTAATAATGTTAATATATGTCCCATAGTGCCCAGTGCCCCCATAGTGCCCCAGTCTGTGGTCATGATTGATTCCATATGGGACTTCTGGGTCAGACCTGTGAAGGTCCAGGTTAGAATTGGTCTTCAGCAACCCATGCTTGTCGTAAGAGGCGACTAAAGGGATCGGGTGGTCAGGATTGCTGACTTGGTTGACACATGTCATCGGTTCCCAATTGAGCAGATCAATGCTCATGCTGTTGATCACTGGATTGTCTGGTCCAGACTCGATTATTTACAGACCGCCGCCATATAGCTGGAATATTGCTGAGTGCGGTGTAAAACTAAACTCACTCACTCTTCATGATAGTGGTGGCTGTAAGGCAAGTCGTCATGCACCCCTTCAGTGACAGCCAGAGTGTGTCCCAAGCCCCTAAAGCTTGTCCCAAAACTGGTACTTCATAATCATGTTTTGAAATTTTGTTTAATATTTGGATTTTCTTGAAAGTTCTTTAATCCCATTTCACCACCACGTCACCTCAGTGATTTGCTGGAATTATGTTAAGTTATTAATCAAGTGACAGTATGGCCCACTCGTCAAGCCCCTCTTCAATCCTCAGCTGCCAGTCATCATGAGAAATCCAATATAGGGTGTGTTTGTTTTGCCTGCAGGTTCCAGAGGCTGCCTGCTGCTATTGACAAGCTTAGGACAATGAGGGTCCCGAAGGGGTCAGAACACTTCTTTAAGGATCATACAAATCCCAGATAATCTATTGAATTTCTGATGGAATGAAACTGATGCTTGATCTTGGAAGTCAGGCTTCATGCTTAGCCGACTCTGTGTTGCGAATGTTTATCAACCCTTTTTCAGGTCATTTGTTGATTTTAGTTTTGCTTGTGAGAATATTCCATGGTTACAAGATTCTCCTGGGAAATGTGATTTTGAAAAAAGTCAACTTGTTTGTATTTTGTGTTCAGAAAGCAATTTATAGTCATGAAGTAAGTGTTGAATTATATAGTATGTCTTTTGTTCACAGACAATGGTTTACAGTAGGCATTGATGTAGATGTTTTACCGTCTGAACTCATTTCATGTAAATCATCAGTTGGGAACCAGTTTTGAGTAACAAGAAGCAGCAGTCAGTGGCATTAAATGACAGTTAGTAACATGAAATG